TAATCCCAGGTTTCCTTCCCAAAGAGTCTTTCATTTCACTCTCATTTGACTCTTTGACATTACACTGCACAAAGTACTTGAACTATTGTTTTTTGTTTGTTTGTTTGTTTTTTGAGACAGAGTTTCTAGCTGTCATCCTGGCTAGAGTGCTGGGGTGTGATAGCTCACAGCAACCTCCAACTCTTGGGCTCAAGAAATCCTCTTGCCTCAGTTTTTCTATTTTTAGTAAAGACAGGGTCTCACTTTTGCTCAGGCTGGTCACTAACTCATGAGCTCAAGCAATCCACCTGCCTTGGCCTCCCAGAGGGCTAGGATTATAGGTGTGAGCCACCATGCCCTGCCCTTGAACTACGTTTAGTGCAAAATTGGTAAGCTTGTTTCCAAAACACTTTGACTAAAACAATTAATTTCAATGAAAACAATGGACTCCTGAGAGACACACAAAATAAGAACACAGTAATTGATGAAGTTGTGGCAGAGTGCATGCCTACAAGATACCAAGGACTAAGTTGAGGTTGGAGAAGAAGCAGCAACCTAGAAATTTTGGAAAGTAAATCAGTGCCCTGCCAGCACAGTGCTCATGTACATGGTACACAGAAGGGAATTATACTATAGCAAGCATTCTGGTGGGCCTTGAAGACTTGGAGGGCTATAAGATTCTGGGATCTGGGAGGAGGATTCTTGAGTTGCCACTGTAGAAGGGGATTCAGTGTGGACAGAGCCCAGGCTAGGCATGACCTCAGGAGCAAGCCTGACAGGCCTTGGCAAAAGTAGGGCCTTTGAGGGGTCCGAGAGGACATTGTCACAGACCCTAGGAGGTTCTCAGGTTGTGTCAAAAACTCTGTGAGAGTTTGCAAAGAATGGCCATCTAGGTGGTCTCATAGGCTCTTATACTACATAGGAAATAAGAACACCTCAAGGAGAATACATAAAATACATACATTGGGTGGGGCCTATGGCTCAAAAGGGTAGGGCACCGGTCCCATATGCCGGAGGTGGTGGGTTCAAACCCAGCCCTGGCCAAAAAAAATAAAAAAATAAATAATAATAAAAAATAAAATACATACATCTCAGACCCCCTCCCCTTTCCCCCTACGGCCGAAATTGGTCCTTAGGGAGAAAGTGGGGGTGGGGTGGAGGGTGGGGGGTGAGGGGTCTGAGATGGACCCATGCTCTTGAAAGCTAATTTTTTTGTTGTACTATACAGAAATTATTTTGAGTGAGCAAGATACTATTGAGTGGGAAAACTATAAGGACTATATTTGTAGATAAAAGAGTTCTTTTAAGAAGCGTAAACTAATAAGAACTATAGACATAATAATAGCTAAGAGATTTGACTTGAGCCTTCCAGCTTCTGAAACTGCCTGGCACTGGCAATAGCATTCTCCTGGTCCCTCATCAACCCTCATTTCCTGTAAAAATGGCTGCACACTTTATACAATCAGAGCATGTTAATTATCCCCTCTGTGCATCAGTGTCTTCCCCTGTAACTGGGGATTATAATCCTGCTACCTTGAGGAGTTGTGGTGAGGATTAAAAATGTTAATACATGCAAAGCTTAGAACTGGGTCTGGCATTTAGCATTTACTTAATAAATGTTAGCTAGCTTTATTATTTGCATCATTCACATGTTAATGAGAATATCAAAGCTGGATGGAGCTGTAGAGTCCATCTGGGAAACATTTATGCATAAAATCATTTTCAAGCTAGGCCTTGGAAAATGGATAGGGTTTCAATTAGTAGAGAAAATAAGGAGAAAGACTTTCTAGGCACTGGGAATAAAGATAGAAAGGTATAGACACCAACCAAGAACGATGAGCAGACTAATGTAGCAGAAATTGGATGGAATATGCAGGAGAGGGGTGGAAAATAAGCCTGAAAGCTAAATTGAGGACACATAATAAGGAATACAGAATTCATTCTTCTCTCTCTGGTCAGCAATGAACACCAAGACAGATGTCACTTATAACGTTCTGCAATTTGGCTTTGTTCTTCCCACTCTATGGAATATTTTTTCTCAAAGGTCTTCTAATACAAGTGCTTCTAAAACTTTAAAGTACAATGTCTTGGGGCCTCCCTCAAGATTCTGTTATGGTACGTGCTGGGTGAGACCTGAGATCCTACACTTTCAACAAGCTTTCAGGTGCTACCATACTCCTGGCTGCTCATCCAGGGACGAGAATTTAAGTACCAAAGGTCCAATCCAGTGATCTCTTCTCATTCTCATCTTTACCCCCTCTGCACTGCTGGGCCTTGCTGAGCTTCCTAATGCTGTCATCGTTGGCTTCTACAACTCTCTCGTTTAAATCTTATGCTGTTAATTAAAGCTGAGGACACAGATTAGAATCCTGCTCTGTAAAAATCCAGCACATGTTGACTTGTGTTGAACACAGCCTTCATCACATAAGTCAAAGTTGCCATTGGTAACAAGATCTATACACGTGCAATAGCTGTAACTACAATCTCAAGACCAGTCTATAGATGTGTCCAACCAACTGTCAATGCATCAATCTCTTTGGTCTTTTAGATGAAAATATTATAAACCATCTTCTAACAAAAGGCAAGCATATATTGTTATAGAAAACACCTTTTGCCCATTTCATGATCCATTTAGGTTTTTTCCTATGGAAAATATTCTCTCCTGAGGTCCCCAATCCATCTGCCCCACCAATCTACATAGCAATTGGCTACAGTTGATTGGTACAGAGGTGAACCCCTGACAGTATTAGGTTATTTTCAGTCTGGGAAAGGATTTTGGACTAAAACTCAAGAAAAACAAGTCGGTCTCTCCCTCTCTGTAGGGAATAGAAGCCAAGAGCATGTATACTTAGAATCTATCATGGGCTCGGCGCCTATAGCTCAACCGGCTAAGGCGCCAGCCACGTACACCTAAGGTGGCGGGTTCGAATCCCCAACCCGGACCCGCCAAACAACAATGACGGCTGCAACCAAAAAATAGCCGGGCGTTGTGGCGGGCGCCTGTGGTCCCAGCTACTTGGGAGGCGGAGGCAGGAGACTCGCTTGAGCCCAGGAGTTGGAGGTTGCTGTGAGCTGTAATGCCACGACACTCTACCCAGGGGGACAGCTTGAGGCTCTGTCTCAAAAAAAAAAAAAAAAAAGAATCTATCATGGACCCCATTCTGCTATGTGAACCGGAAAAGCAGAAAAAGCAATCAGCTGTGAGGAAGAAGACTGATGTGGATAATGGGAGAATCCAGGGAAATAGCTCCACAGTGTGGCACCGTGATAACCTTGTATATCTCCACGTAGGCCAGGTAGGCAAAGCTTGAACAGTCAGGCCTGAGTCTACAGGATGCCCTATAATTTCTACAAGTGAAAAAGAAAATAAATAGCCTGGTGAGAAGCTGCTAAAAAGCAGTCTCTCCTTCCTATTATTGTGAAATAGTGTCACATGGCCATTTCTCATCCATCTCCCTAGTTTCAGGTGAGCAGAAGACCTTCTACCTTTCCCCCATATAGATTACAGCATAAGTCTATAAAACTGTTTGGCTGTGGTCCAGAGGTGGGTTCCCAAAAGCAAAATGACCCACCACTCATAACACCTATCCTCTAGCCTTCAGTTCAATGTCATCTGTGGTACTTGGGACACTGGGAACTAGGATCATGATGACTTGGTTTTTCTGTCTATGTAAATAATAAACTCTCTTTGAATCTATCTGGGCATGTTTACTTCTTGCCAGGCAAATTTATTAAACTATGGCATGCCATCCTAACAGCTGTAGTAGTAATACTAGTGATCCCATTATTAATATTAACCACCTCCTTGCTGCCTTGGAAATGCCTGACCACTTGAGAAAGAGAAGTGATGGCAGGAGTTCACTTCCTGAGTTGACTTCAGTGCTTCAGCCCTGATTCCAGTTTGTTCTAGGTATGCATCCCAGATCTTGAATTCCATGAGACAGTCTGGTATCTTTCCAATAACCTCCCCCACTTTCTTTTTTATTTTCCCTAATTAAGGCAGAATATATTTTGACCTTTTTTAAATTTTTATTTTATTTATTTATTTTGGCGGGGGTTTTTTTGTTTGTTTGTTTTTGTTTTTTGGCCGTGGCTAGGTTTGACCCCACCACCTCCAGCATACAGGGCTGGTGCCCTACTCCTTTGAGCCACAGGAGCCGCCCTATATTTTGACCTTTATAACCAAAAGGTCTTACTCTTGCTCAGGCTGGTCTCAAACCCATGAACTCAGGCAATCCACCTGCCTCAGCCTCCCAGAGTGTTAGGATTATAGGCGTGAGCCACTGCGCTGGCCTTAGGTATCTTTAAATTACATGTACAGGGCATAGCTAATGGTTAGTAACTTTCTCCAGCCACATTTAACAATAATTCCTAAGATTAGTTATAATAGATTTTTTCTAACTTTTTTCCCACAACATAACTCTCCATAAATTAATGAGCCCATTATATCAAAGGTGTTTACATATACTAACATATGCATTTAATTTTAATGTGCCCATTGAAGGCACAAATATCCCCCAAGTAAGCACAGAATGCAATAAGAAGCTCTGTGGAGTCCTGACGTAAGAGCTTGGAGCAAAGCAGGATCTACATAAAATTGGAACTAGCCAGCCTGGAAGAGAGTTTACAATTGATAGGAAAACTAAGTTAGCAAAACTAACTCAGACGGAACTAGACCATTTTCAAGTAAAACAGCTAGCAAGGCAAAAAGGCCTCCTTAAAATTGCTGGGCTTGCAGCTGCCACCTTGGTTTCTAGGCTAGGAACAGAGGAGACCAGGAACTCGATAGCGGCCCGCGCGGGCTCCTCGGCTGCTTTACCTGGGGCACCCGAGCCCCGCCGCCGGCTCCCGGCCTCCTTTGCTCTCGCGCCCCGCCGGCTGGAGCGCTGCGTTGGGAACGCGGAGTTTTGAGGAAGAGTGCAGAACTTCGGCTGGGAGAACTTGTCTAGGAAACGTTTCGGGACCCGCGGTGGGGAAAACGACTAGCGGCTGGCGGGAAGCGGGGAATGAGGGGGGCTTACCAGCAGAACCCCCGGCCACGATCTGCCGAGAAGCCTCGCGCGCTAAGCCGACTTCGGCCTTGGCTGGCATCTTCGCCGGCGAGAGGACGAGGAATTGGGCCGAGTGAGTTGGCGAGCTCGCTGCCTGAACGCCGGCCTGCACAGCCTCTCCTGATCCAGAGAGCCAGGGCTAGGTTGATCCTCGGACTGGGCGGCTCTGGGCGGCAATCCCACAACTCCTGGAAGGCGGAGGTTCGGGCCGCAGATTTCCTGAGATATGCCTGACCAGTCGGAACCTGTCCGCTCGCGCTCCTTCGGAGGCGCTCTTTGCTAGCAAAAGTCACTGGAGAGAAAACTCTCTAATGGAATTAACTTACAGGTCAGGCTTGGTCTCTTAGATTGGCGCCCAAGAGCTTCCCTATCTGGAGCCTCCTGCAGTTTGTCAAGCTGGTCGCGCTGCCTTTGATAAGGCAAGTGAAGTGACCCGGGCCTGAAGCTCCAAGTGCAAAACTAGGACGATCCTTGTTCTTCTTTGCAAGCCAGAGTGCAATACACTTTGAATGAAGGGATGGTTAATTAATTACCTGTAGTCCTCAAATTGTGGACTATAGCATCTAAGTCAAGTCAAAGCAAACCCAATTTACTATCATCTTAAAATTTAGCTGATTAGAACCAGCACAGTGGCTCACGCCTGTAATTAGCACTCTGGGACGCTGAAGTGGGTGGATTGCTGGTTGAGCTCAGGAGTTGGAGGACAGCCTGAGCAAGAGCAAGACTGTCTCTAAAAAATAGCCAGGCGTTATATGCAGGTGCCTATAGTCCCAGCTACTTAGGAGGCTGAGGCAAGAGGATCACTTGAGCCCAAGAGTTTCAGGTTGCTGTGAGCTGTGATATTACAGCACTATACAGAGAGCAGCAGGGTGATACCCTGTCTCAAAAAAAAGAAAAATTTAGCTAAGTACTAAAAATGGTTTTGATTTAAGGAACTATATCTCATGCCTCATCAACTTGAGTTTTATCTACTGAAATACAAAAGAAAAGAAAAAACCTGGTTACAAATAAGTCTCTTCTACACGTAAGTCAGTAATTCTCAAAGTTTGGGTTTAGTCAAACTTTGAGAATTACTGACTTGGGTGTAGGAGAGACCCAAATCAGCATAAATTGTGGATTTGTTAGAAAGTCAAATTCATGGGTCCCACCCTGATCTGCTGAATAGTAATCTAAATCAGATTACTTGTAATCAGAAACTTATGTTTAACAAGTTCTCTGGTAATTGTTGTGAATATTAAAGGTTGTGAACCACTGACCTAAATAATGAAAAAATAAGGAGCATATATTCTCTCTATAAAACATTAATCAGGCAGTGCCCATAGCTCAGTGGGTAGGGCCCAGCCACATACACCGTGGCTGGTGGGGTGGAACCCTGAGTGGGCCAGCTAAAACAACAATAACAACTGCAACAACAACAACAACAAAAATAGCTGGGCATTGTGGCAGTGGCCTGTAGTCTCAGCTACTCAGGAGGCTGAGGCAAGAGAATCACTTAAACCCAAGAATTTGACGTTGCTCTGAGCTGCGACACCATGGCACTCTACCGAGAGCAACAAAGTGACACTCGGTCTCAAAAAAAAAAAAAAATACAAATTTATACTATATTAAAACACTGAGTTGCAAAATAAAATGCTATATAGAAGAGACAAAAAATTATGAAATTTTAGGAAAACCTGCCACACCCCTAACAGGCAGGAGATGATAAGAGTTAAAGGGAGAATTTTTTTTTTCCCCCAGACAAAGTCTCTCTATGCCCTGGGTGTGTGCCATAGCTCACAGCAACCTCAGACTCTTCAGCTCAAGCAATTCTCTTGCCTCAGCCTCTGGAGTAGCTGGGATTACAGGCACCTGCCACAATGCTCAGCTATTTTTAGAGATAGGTCTTTCTCCGGCTCAGGTTGGTGTTGAACTCCTGAGCTCAAGCAATCCACCCTCCTTGGCCTCCCACAGTGCTAGCATTACAGGCGTAAGCCACGGCACCCAGCCTTAAGCGACTCTCTTGCCCCAGCTTCCCAATTAGCTAGAACTACAGGCCCTCGCCAAAGTGCCAGGCTACTTTTTCTATTTTTTTTTTAAGAGACAGAGTCTCACTTTGTCACCCTCAGTAGAGTGCTGTGGCGTCACAGCTCACAGCAACCTCCAGCTCTTGGGCTTAGGTGATTCTCTTGCTTCAGTCTCCCGAATAGCTGGGACTACAGGCTCCCACCACAACGCCTGGCTATTTTTTTGTTGCAGTTTAGCTGGGGCCAGGTTTGAACCCACGACCCTCATTATATGGGGTGGGCGGCCTACTCACTGTGCCACAAGCACCTCCCTACTTTTTCTATTTTTAATGAAAATGGGTCTTGCTTGTCACAGAAACCCATAATAGTTCAATGCCCCCAAATTAATTTCGTGTATTTGTATATAAGGAGAGAATTTCTTTTTTTTTGAGACAGATCTCTCTTTGTTGCCCCTGGTAGAAAGCTGTGGAATCATAGCTTACAGCAACCTTAGACTCTTGGGCTCAAGAGATGCTCTTGCCTCAGCCTCCATAGTAGCTGGGACTACAGACACCTGCCACTTTACAACCATGAAACCTCAAGCCACCATTGAACCAAATTGTACCTTCCTTCTTTGAGAGCTTACTAAGTATCAGCATTTTCCTAGGTGCTGACAGCATAATTAAAAATCTCCCCTCGTGGCATGTATAATCCAATGAAAGAGATCATACCATCTGGCAATGTTAAGAAAATTTTTGCCTTCCATAGATTATTTAGGAACTGCAATAGTACATTTAGGTCAAGATTTTTTTTTTTTAGGTAGGATCTCCTTTTGCTGTCCAGTTTCCCAGCCTGGCCTCAAGTAATCCTCCCACCTTAGCCTCCCAGAAGCTGGGATTTCAAATCGCATTTTGAAACCACATGTAATCCAACCTGACGCCTCTAGAATAGTTGCAGAGACGGTGCCCAGGCATATGAACATTCTGGAACTTGGGAGTCAGCAAGAGTTAATCCAAAGTCAACAAGTAAACACTGTGCTAAGAGCTCTGATTATGGGATAGATCTCTTATCTGCAGTTAAATTTGCTCAAGGCCAATATTGGAATGCTGGAAGGCTTGGCACTACAGAACAATGGTAATATTTACTAGACCTACTAGATTCCCTAGACTCAATTCATCACAATTTTTTTTTAGTTTTTAGCCGAGGCTGGGTTTGAACCCACCACCTCCGGCATATGGGACCAGCACCCTACCCTTTTGAGCCACAGGCACCGCCCAATTCATCACATTTTTCTTTCTGTTATTTCAATAATGACATATCCTAATAGTAACAGCAAACGTGCTAAAGTATCAAGCATATATATATGTATATATATATTTGGGTTTTTTATTAGAGACAGAGTCTCACTCTATCACCCTTCATAGAGCGCTGTGGCGTCACAGTTCACAGCAACCTCCAATTCCTGAGCTTAGGTGACTCTCTTGCCTCAACCTCCCAAGTAGCTAGAACTACAGACACCTGCCACAATGCCCTGCTATTTTTTTGTTGCAGTTTGGCTGGGGCCGGGTTTGAACATGCCACTCTCACTATATAGAGCTGGCACCCTACTCACTGAGGCACAGGCCCCACCCTCAAGCTTATATTTTTTAAATTATTTATTTAGTGGATCTTTGTTGAGAACAACATAATTAAATTACTGACTTATCTATCAGATTGTAAAGTGGCTAAAAACTAAATCTTCAAGAACTTTAAAAAAAAAAAAAAAGAACTTTAACATACCCCCAAACATAAATATCTGACAATTTCTTCAAGGTCTTTTTGGAATAAAGTTTATGTATTGGGCCATTGGATCAGTTACAGTATACTACCAAAATAATAGTGGCTTCTGGCTGGGTACCTATTGCTCACTGGTTAGGGCTAGGGTGCCAGCCACATACACTGGGGCTGGTGGGTTTGAACTGGCCCCAGCCTGCTAAACAACAATGACCACTACAACAAAAAAGTAGCCAGGTGTGGTGGCGGGTGCCTGTAGTCCCAGATACTTGGGAGGTTGAGGCAAGAGACTTGCTTTAAGCCCAAGAGTTTGAGGTTGCTGTGAGCTGTGACGCCACAGCACTCTACCAAGGGTGATACAGTTTGAGACTCTGTCTCAAAAAAAAAAAAATAAACAAAATAGTAGTGGCTTAAACAAGACAAATTTATTTACCCCTCAGGTAATAACCTAATGTTATGCTACAAATAGAGTTCCCACTAGTAGAAGGAGAAAGGTAAGAAAAATAAGAAAGCCTTGGAAATTATACTAACCTGATTGGCCAGAACTTGACTACAGGAACTATACCTAGGTATTTGGTTTTATTTTTGAGACAGGAACCTCAAGCTGTCCCCCTGGGTAGAGTGCCATGGCATCTCAGCTCACAGCAACCTCCCACTCCTGGGCTTAAGCGAGTCTCCTGCCTCCGCCTCCCAAGTAGCTGGGACCACAGGCACTCGCCACAACGCCCGGCTATTTTTTGGTTGCAGCCATCATTGTTGTTTTGGCGGGCAGGGCTGGATTCGAACCCGCCACCTTAGGTGTACGTGGCTGGCGCCTTAGCCACTTGAGCCACAGGTGTCGAGCCACCTATACCTGGGTATTGAGAAGAGAGGAAAACATATTTTGGCTATTGGACAGTGGGAATGAAATAGTTAATGAGGAAACTTTTTTAAAAAATACTTCATTGTTATAGAATAGGAACAACATCCAGAGGTCATTTATGTGCCAGAATTCTGGTTTGGGGAACATAACTAGGACCATAGGAGCTAAGAAGACCTCTACATCAGGCATCCTCAAACTACGGCTCACGGGCCACATGCGGGCCGCTGAGGACATTTATCCAGCCTGCCAGGTGTTTTTGCCACCACTGCCTGTCCTGCTTAGCAGCTGACTCATCCCAGGGCTCGCAGTCCAGCCCTCCAAAGGTCTGAGGGACAGTGAACTGGCCCCCTGCTTAAAAAGTTTGAGATTTTGGCTCAGCACCTGTGGCTCAAGCAAGGCACCAGCCATATACCCCTAAGGTGGCGGGTTCAAATCCAGCCCGGCCCGCCAAACAACAATGACAGCTGCAACCAAAAAAATAGCCGGGCGTTGTGGTGGGTGCCTGTGGTCCCAGCTACTTGGGAGGCTGAGGCAGGAGACTCACTTGAGCCCAGGAGTGGGAGGTTGCTGTGAGCTGGGATGACATGGCACTCTACCCAGGGGGACAGCTTGAGGCTCTGTCTCAAAATAAAT